GTTATCAGATTCACTGGCAACCGAAGTTCCCGACCAAACATCAACTTTGCTGGAGTGTATCCAGTGGCTTCATGCTCTGCTGTTGTATAGGCCATCAACAGTGGAGGGAGTAAGACATCCCAGTCATCTTGGCAGCTATTACACAACTTTGCCAATTCCTGTCCCAGTGTCCAATTGTACTTTTCTACCAACCCATCAGACTGTGGGTGAAGTGGCGTTGTCCTGGTCTTTCGTGTGCCAAACAACTTGCAGCATTCATGGAACACAGCTGATTAAAAGTTACGGCCTTGATCTGAATGCAGTTCGTATGGCATACCAAACCTGAAGAAGAAATCACTAATAGCCGAAGCTACAGTTGTAGCTTCCTGATTTAGTATTGCATATGCCTCAGGCCACTTGGTGAAATAATCCATCACCACACAAATGTACTTGTATCCAACACGAGTTTGTGGCAAAGGACCAGTAATGTCAACAGCTACTCTTTCCATTGGTGCACCAACTTGATATAACTTCATTGGAGCACGTCCTTTATGCTTGGGTCCCCTTTTAGCACAACATGTACTACTTGTCCTGTACCATTCTTCCACACCTTGCCTCATACATATCCAGTAAAATCTCTGCCATAGGTGTCTTCTTAACTCCAAGATGTCCTCCTGTTAAACTATCATGGGATTGACGCAGCACAGCTTCCCGTAACTTTCTCGGTATAACTGTTTGCCAGGTCGTCACTTTCCCATCTGCAGTCTCCCATCTCCAGACAACACTACCATCTTCAAGCTTCAACTGGTCCCATTGTGCCCAATAGTTCTTTGTCACAGGGCTTAAGATAGACACCTTCTCCCAAACAGGGTGCAAAACAATTGCTTTTAGAAAATCAATTATTGGCTTCGAATCTTGGTCTTTCTCCTGCTCTGCTTTAATGTCTATACATGGTTCCACTTCCTCATCATCACCTCCTTCGGTCACTTTGAGTTCAGCTTGATGACACCTGGATAGTTCAACCTTTCTTTTAACACTTACTGGAATTTGGCCTTTGTTGTTCCCAATCGTCATTTTATCGAAGTTAACTACACACTTTCTCGGTAGTAAGTAGTCCAACCCTAATATGCATTGGTCTTCAATGTCAGCCAAGTATACTTTGTGTCTGTCCTTCATGCCCATGAGCTCAATAGTTACCCATACTGGTCCCCACAACCTTGCATAATGTACTGTCACACCACAGAGCTTCTGTATGGCTTCTGGTTCTCCTTTGTGATCTAGCAACTTGATACTCACAAGGGTTTGCTGAGATGCAGAATCTATGACAAAGTTGCACTTTTGGCCATCCAGCTTTCATGTCACGTAGACACTATG